TCAATTAATCTAGAAAAAAAGCATTTGATACAATTCAACCCCGTTCATCATAAAGTTTCTTAGCAAATGATGAACAGAAAGTGACTTTATAACATGTTAAATGGTATATATCAAGATCTGAATATAAATTTAATATTTAATTGGGAAGCACTAGAAATACTCATTTTCAATTAGGAACAAAACAAATATTTCAGATATCAATATTTCTATTCAATATTTTACAGGAGGTCCTACCTAATGTAGTGAGGCAAGTATAACAAAATTATCCTATATAGTAAAAGGCTAATATGCAAATTGTCTCAACTGGGAGTTCGACCAGGGGGCGGGGCTGGCCCACCAACTGCCTGCGGCCCCTCCTCCCAGCTGGCCCCTCCCCTATTTGGCCCCCCCAACCCTGATCGGGGGCAAAGCTGGTCGGCCAACCTCTCGCATCCCCTCCCCACTGCAGGCCTGGCCTGATCAGGGCAGACTGGCTGGACCCCACCCGTGCACGAATTCGTACATTGAGCCTCTAGTAGATGTATAAGAAAGGATTTTTAAAAATCCAGTCATTTATATAATGACAGAATTTCTGTGAAAAATGCAAAGAAACCCATAGACAAACAATATTATCAGAAAAGAGTTCAGCAAGGTGTGGGATACAAAATCAGTATGCAACATTTTATTGTATTCCTATTAACCAAAAAGTTTTTGGAAAATGCTAGTCTAATATATATATACTAGAGGCCCGGTGCACAAAAATTTGTGCACTCGGGGGGGAGGGGGATCCCTCAGCTCGGCCTGTACCCTCTCGCAGTCTGGGACCCCTCAGGGGATGACCACCTGCTGGCTTAGGCCTGCTCCCCGGGGGATTGGGCCTAAGATGGCAATCAGACATCCCTCTGGCAGCCTGGCAGCCCTCGGGGGATGTCCACTTGCCAGCAGGGAGCAGGCCTAAACTGCAGTCGGACATCCTTAGCACTGCTGAGGAGGCAGGAGAGGCTCCCACCACCACCGCTGTACTGGCAGCCATCAGCCTGGCTTGTGGCTGAGCAGAGCTCCTCCCATGTGAGAGCGCCCTGACCACTAGAGGGCAGCTCCTGCATTGAGCGTCTGCCCCCTGGTGGTCAGTGTGTGTCATAGTGACCAGTCATTCCCAGTCCTTCTGCTGTTAGGGTCAGTTTGCATATTACCCTTTTACTATATAGGATAGAGGCCTGGTGCATGGGTGGGAGCCGGCTGGTTTGCCCTGAAGGGTGTCCTGGATCAGGGTGGGGGTCCTGCTTGGGTGCCTGGCCAGCCTGGATGAGGGGATGATGGCTGTTTGCAGCTGGTCACACCCCCTTCAGGGTGGGGGTCCCTACTGGGGTGTCTGGCCAGTCTGGGTGAGGGGCTGAGGGCCGTTTTCAGGCTGGCGGGCGACTGAAGCTCCCAACCTTTCCTTTTTTTCTTTTTTTTCTTTTTTTATTCTGGGATTTATTTACCTTCTATGGCTGTCACTGGAACTGAGAGCCGGCTTTAGCTCTGAGGCTCAGCTCCAGCTCTGAGACCTCGGCTGCTGAAAGCAGGTATCTGGGTTTGTTTGGCTTCTATAATTGAAACACTGTTGCAACTCCAGCTCTGAGGCCCGGCTGGCTGAAAGCAGGTTTCTGGGGTTTGTTTAGCTTCTATAATTGCAACATTGTTTCTTAGAATGCAGCTCAGAGGCCGGCAGCGGCAGGCCGGGAACCTTGGCTTCCTCCATCACTGGAGCAAGCAAGCCTCCTGTTCGCTTCAGCTGCCTGGCTGCCGGCCGCCATCTTGGTTGGCAGTTAATTTGCATATCGCCCTGATTAGCCAATGGGAAGCATGTCGGAGGTACAGTTAATTACCATGTTTGTCTATTATTAGATAGGATATATATAAAAGCCTAAGGGACCGGAAAACTGGAAGACCAGCTGGTAGCTATGATGTATACTGACCACCAGGGGGCAGACGCTCAATGCAGGAGCTGCCCCTTGGTGGTCAGTGTGCTCCCACAGCAGGAGCGCCATTCAGCTGACAGGCACCAGACGTTGGGCTTATGGCTGGCGAGCGCAGCTGATGTGGCTCCAGCCTCTTCCGCGGACACTCCCCCTGTGGCAGGCGCAGTGGGCCAGTAATCAGTGGGAGCAGTGTGGCGCCCAGCCCAGGCTCGGGCTCCTCCCTGGCCACCTGCCATATCGCGCACTACTTCGTGCTGTGCAGGATTGACACGGACAGTGGGCTGGAGCCCAATGAGCTGGCGGGTAAGGCTGGGCTGCAGTGGCATGGGGGTCCACTGATCCCTGCAGGCCAGACCAAGGGACCCCACTGGTGCACAAATCCGTGCATCAGGCCTCTAGTCATTTATAAGTGCAACAAAAATGGTAAGATATCAAAGAATAAATCTCACCAAAGATATACAAAACCTTTATGGAAAAATTATAAAACTCTATTAAAAGATTTTGAAAGATCCTAGCTGGCATGGCTCAGTGGTTGAGTGTCACCTATGATCCAGGAGGTTATGGTTTAATTCCTGGTCAGGGCACATGCACCCCTCAGGGGATGACCACCTGCTGGCTTAGGCCTGCTCCCCGGGGGATTGGGCCTAAGATGGCAATCAGACATCCCTCTGGCAGCCCGGCAGCCCTCGGGGGATGTCCACTTGCCAGCGGGGAGCAGGCCTAAACTGCAGTCGGACATCCTTAGCAATGTGGGGCATGCAGGAGGCAGCGATAGATGGTTCTCCCTCATGGATGTTTCTCTCTCTCTCTCTCTCTCAGATCAATGAAATCAATAAAAATATATTTAAATATATTTAAAAATGTTTTGAAAGAGACCTAGAAAAATGAGGAGACAGCATGTTCAGAGATGGGAAAACAATATGTTAAAGATGTTGATTTTCATTAATCACATTAATGTAATTACAACCGAGACCTCAACGTTTTGTGAGTGTATGTGTGTAACTTGAAATATACATTCTAAAATTCATTGGAAGAGAAAGAAGCAAGCCTTGCCAACACATTTCAAAAGTAAAAAGTAGACAAACTTGCACTATAAGATATTAGGACTTCTTATAAGATATCAAGACATAAAACCACAGTAACTAAAATGGTGAAGTACTGGCCTAAGGATATAGAAATATACCAGTATAGTAGAATGTATAAAAATCAAAAGAATTAAAACTATTTTCTAGCAGAGAATTTTGAACACATGCAAAAGGTGACAGAACAAAGTGGGGTTGGGGTGTGGAGGGATTGAGCAAAACAAACAAACAAACAAACAAACAAACAAACAAACACCAACTCATGGACATGGATGGTGATTGGGGGTTGGAGGTAGTAGAGGGCAAAGAGGAAATAAAAGGTGATGGAAACAATTAAATTAAATTAAAAAAGGTGACAACAGTATAATATTCAATATCCAGTTTTAACAATTATCAATTTTGTTTAATTTATACCCCATACTCCCCCATTCCTGAACTATTCTGAAGCAAATCTCAGACGTTATATAATTTTATTAATAAATATTTTAGTGTGTATCTGTAAATTTTCATTTTAAAAATACACATTTTATTGATTTTTTACAGAGAAGAAGGGAGAGGGATAGAGAGTTAGAAACATCGATGAGAGAGAAACATCAATCAGCTGCCTCCTGCACACCTCCCACTGGGGAGATGCCCACAACCAAGGTACATGCCCTTGACCGGAATCAAACCTGGGACCCTTCAGTCCACAGGCCGACGCTCCATCCACTGAGCCAAACCGGTTAGGGCTAAATTTTCATTTTTATAGTTTGTTTGAATCCAAATCCAAATAAGGAGCACATATTGCAATGGTTATACCCTCTGAATCCATTTTTTTGGTAAGTTCTCCCTCTTTTTTTTTTCCCCTTTCATTTTATTTGTTGACTAACCTGTGTGTTTCTTAATATAAGAATTTCTTCTGTTGTGAAAACAATCACTTCCTACTCTGTTTTTTAAATTTTGGATTGCTTTAGTGTTATTTACAATAGCCAAGATTTGCTAGCAGCCCAAGTGCCCATCAGTAGATGAGTGGATAAAACAAGCTGTGGTACATTTACACAATGGAATACTACTTAGCTATCAAAAAGAAGGAAATCTTACTCTTGGCAACAGCGTGAATGGGACTCTAGAGAGTATTATGCTAAGTGAAATAAGCCAGTCAGAGAAAGATAATTTCCATATGATTTTCACTTATATGTGGAATCTAATAAACAAAAGAAACAAAATAGAAACAGACTCAGATGCAGAAAACAGACTAACAACTGTCGGAGGGAAGAGAGTTGGGGGTCTAGTAAAGAGTTGAAGAAATTAAGTGAAAAGAAAACCCCTCATAGACAACAGTACGTTGATTACCAGATAAAAAAAGGGGTGGGGGAAGTAGGAGAGGATAAAGGGGGGATAAATGGTGATGGAAAGAGACTTGACTTGGGGTAGTAAACACATAATACATTATACAGATGACGTATTATAGAATTGTACTCCTGAAATCTATATAATTTTATTAACCAGTGTCACCCTAAAAAATTCAATAATTATAAAAAATAAAAGTGTGATTAATTTGGAAAAATTTGGATTGTTTTATAATTATTCTTTTTTTAAAAAAATATATTTTATTGATTTTTTACAGAGAGGAAGGGAGAGAGATAGAGAGCCAGAAACATCGATGAGAGAGAAACATCGACCAGCCGCCTCCTGCACACCTCCCACTGAGGATGTGCCCGCAACCAAGGCACATGCCCCTGACCGGAATCGAACCTGGGACCTTTCAGTCCGCAGGCCGACGCTCCATCCACTGAGCCAAACCGGTCAAGCTATAATTATTCTTTTAATATTTTAGTTGTATTCCAATAATTTCTTGATAAAGTCATAATATGGTAACATAGGATTATTTCACAGTACCCATGGTATAGTTTTGCTTTAGGCAATTTGCCTCAAGGGGGTTATCCCTATGGTTTAGATTACTGTTTGGACACCAGGACAGGTGTGCATCACTTACAGTTGTGTGGAGATCATCTGTTCTGTCAGTGAAGTTATTCAATCTTTCTTCGCTTTCCAATATTTTATCAATATTTTGGGTCATAATAATTTTTACATCAGTTATTTGACTCCTCAGTGTGGATATCGAGCTGTCACTTTGATTTTTATTGTATTTCATCTATATAGAAGTGAAATATAATGCAAATTTTATTTTCTATAAATAAAATCTAATATGGTATAATATATTGTACATATTAGAATATAAGTGTCAAAGGCATATCTCAGTATGGTGGTTACCAGAGGGAAGGGGGGGCGGATTTAAAGGGTAAAGGGAGTCAAATATATGGTGACAGAAGATTTGACTTTGGGTGGTGGGCACACAATGCAATATACAGATGATATATCATAGAATTGTATACTGGAAACCTATATATCTTATTAACCAATGTAACCCCAGTAAGTTTAATTAAAAATAAATAAAATATCTGGGGGAAAAAAGGCAATATCTCACTTGTATTTCAGCATAAGGAATCAACTAAGCCTCAAACTGTCCCACCTAATCTTGCAAAAAAAAGGGGGTGCGTATCTCACTTGTATTTCAGCATAAGGAATCAACTAAGCCTCAAACTGTCCCACCTAATCTTGCAAAAAAAGGGGGGTGCGTGGGTGGGTGGGTGGGAGAGGAATATATAAATGTATTGAATCAGCAGTGGAATTGTTTTTTTAAACTTAAATTGTTTGTTTATCTAGACTTCCGTTTTTTTAAAAATATATTTTTATTGATTTCAGAGAGGGAGAGAGAGAGAGAGGGAGAGAGAGAGGGAGAGAGAGAGAGAAACACCAGTGATGAGAGAGAATCATTGATCGGCTGCCCCCTGCACACCCCCTGCTGAAGATTGAGCCCATAAACCGGGCATGTGCCCTGATCAGGAATCGAACCTCAACCTCCTGGTTCATAGGTCGACACTCAACCACTGAGCCACGCTGGCCGGGCTAGACTTCTGTTTTTTTAAAGAGCAGTGTTAGGTTCTTAGTAAAACTGAGCAGAAAGTACAGAGTTCCCACATGCCTGATAAGCCTGACACACACAGCCTCACTATCAACATCCCGCACTAGAATGGTACATTTGTTATAATTGATGACCTTACATTGACACATCATTATCACCCAAACTCCATAGTTTACATGAGGGTTCACTGTTGTACACTCAATAGGTTTGGACAAATGTAAAAAGACACATATTCACCATTACAGTACCCTGCAGAACAATTTTATTGTCCTTAAAATCCTCTGTGCTGCACTTATTCATGCTTCCTTTCTCCCTAAGCTCTGGCTACAACTGGTCTTTTTACTGTCTCTGTAGTTTTACCTTTTCGGAATGTCATATAGTTGGAATCACACAGTATGTAGCGTTTTCAGATTGGCTTCTTTTACTTAATAATATGAATTTAAGGTTCCTCCATGTTTTCTCATTGCTTGATAGCTCATTTCCTTTAATGCTGAATAACAGTCCATTGTTTGGATGTACCACAGTTTATTTATCCATTCACCTGTGAAAAGATATCTTGGTTGCTTCCATGTTTTGCCAATTATGAATAAAGACGCTATAACATCCATATGCAAATTTTTGTGTGAACAAAAGTTATCAACTCCTTTGGGTAAATACCAAGGAGTATGATTGCTGGATTGTATGGTGAGAGTATGTTTAGTTTTGTAAAGAACTGCCAAACTGTCTTCCAAAGTGGCTGTATCATTTTACATTCCTACCAGCAATGAATAAGAGTTATTATTGCTCCACATCCTTGTCAGCCTTTGGTGTATTTTGAATTCTGGTCGTTCTAAAAGGTGTGTAGTGATATTTCAGTGTTGCTTAAATTTGCAATTCCCTAGTGACATATGATGTAGAGCATCTTTTCATATGCTTATTTGCCATCTCTATATCTTTTTTTATGAGACAACTATTCAGGTCTTTGACCCAATTTTTAGTTAGGCTGTTTATTTTCATATTGTTGAGTTTTAAAAGTTCTTTCTATATTGTGAATGACAGCCTTTTATCAGATTTGTTTTTTGCAAATATTTTTTTCCTAGAATGTGGCTTGTCTTCTCATTCTCTTGATTCTTTTAATCCAATCTGACAATCTCTCTTTTTTTTTTTTTAAATCCCCAACCAAGGATATGTTGAGAGAGAAACATCAATCGATTGCCTCCTGCACACACCCCGATCAGGGATTGAACCTGCAACTTAGGTATGTGCTCAGACTGCGAATCGAACCCACAACCTTTTGGTGTACGGGACGACACTCCAACTGAGCCACATGGCCAGGGCAATCTGTCATTTCATTGGTGTATTTAGACCATTAACTTTTAAAGTGATTAATGATATAGTTGGATTAATATCTACCATATTTGTTACTGTTTTCTATTTATTGTTTTAGTTCTTTGTTCTTATTTTTGTCTTCCACTCTATCCATATTAACAAAAATAATCTCTAAGATATAGTGTTATATTAAAAAAGTGAGCTGCACCTGCAAAACAATATTAAGTAATAACTCACTGAACATTTAATATGTGCCAGGCACTGTTTTAAGCACTTCATATGTATTAGCTCATTTAATTCTCAAACCACCATATAAAGTAATACTCTAATCATGTTTTTTTTTAATTGATTTCAGAGAGGAAGGAAGAGAGAGAGAGAGAGAGAGAGAGAGAGAGAGACATCAATGATGAGACAGAATCATCGATCGGCTGCTGCCTCGGATCTAGCCCACAACCCAGGCATGTTCCCTGACCAGGAATTGAACCATGATCTCCTAGTTCATAGGGCAAAGCTCAACCACTGAGCCACGCTGGCCAGGCTGATCATCTTTTATTTTCTAAATAAGAAAACTGAGATTGAGAGTGTTTAATAAGTTGTTCAATATTATACAGCTAAAGGCAAAATAAGGATTCAGACTCGGATCTAGCCCACAACCCAGGCATGTTCCCTGACCAGGAATTGAACCATGATCTCCTAGTTCATAGGGCAAAGCTCAACCACTGAGCCACGCTGGCCAGGCTGATCATCTTTTATTTTCTAAATAAGAAAACTGAGATTGAGAGTGTTTAATAAGTTGTTCAATATTATACAGCTAAAGGCAAAATAAGGATTCAGACTCAAGATAACATATTCATAGTCCATTCAATGACATTTGGTATATATGTTATTGTGCCCTCTCGAAGTCTGGGACCCCTTGGGGGATGTCCACCTGCTGGCTTAGGCCTGCTCCCTGGGGGATTGGGCCTAAGCTGGCAGTCAGACATCCCTCTGGCAGCCTGGGAGCCCGCGGGGGATGTCCACTTGCCAGAAGGGAGCAGGACTAAGCTGCAGTCGGACATCCTTAGCGCTGCTGAGGAGGTGGGAGAGGCTCCCGCCACCACTGCTGTGCTGGCAGCCGTCAGCCTGGCTTGTGGCTGAGCAGAGCTCCCCCTGTGGGACCGCACTGACCACCAGGGGGCAGCTCCTGCATTGAGCATCTGCCCCCTGGTGGTCAGTGTGTGTCATAGTGACCAGTCATTCCCAGTCGTTCTGCTGTTAGGGTCAATTTGCATATTACCCTTTTATTATATAGGATATACCAAAACTCTTTTTTTCACTGTGTGCATTTGGTTAATTATAGTATAAGAAATTCAACAGCCCTAGCCGGCTTGGCTCAGTGGATAGAGCATCGGCCTGCGGACTGAAGGGTCGCAAGTTTGATCCCGGTCAAGGACATATGCCTGGGTTGCGGGCTCAATCCCCAGTGTGGGGCATGCAGGAGGCAGCCAATCAATGATTCTCTCTCATCATTGATGTTTCTATCTTCCTCTCTGAAATCAATAAAAACATTAAAAAAAATGAAATTCAGCTGAAACCAGTTTGGCTCAGTGGATAGAGCGTCGGCCTGCGGACTGAAAGGTCCCAGGTTCGATTCCGGTCAAGGGCATGTACCTGGGTTGCGAGCACATCCCCAGTGGGAGATGTGCAGGAGGTAGCTGATCGATGTTTCTCTCTCATTGATGTTTCTAACTCTCTATCTCTCTCCCTTCCTCTCTGTAAAAAATCAATAAAATATATTAAAAAAAAAAAAAGAAATTCCTTAACCAAATATCACTTTAAAAAAAATGAAATTCAACAACTTTTACAATTTTCTACAGACTTAAAGCTTACCAGGTTAGCTTATAAATGTTAAACAGAAAATTCTTTGATGTCAGATGTATTTGCTTAAAATGTGCATATTTTCACATAGTAACTAGTTTTCAGGGAGCTATGTTAATGTATTTTGGCTGTCTTGAATATGCAGAATTCTTCATAAGATGCATTTAATATAAAAGCTTCTAGTTATTTTGTCAGACATTGTGGTCGACACACCCTGTGGTGATCCCCAGTGAGTTATATCCTTGTAAAACCCCTTCATCTTGATTGTGATTTGCTTCTAACTAACAGATGCAAAGGTGACAGAATGTTAGTACCATGATTATGTTACACTAGAGGGCCGGTGCACAAAATTGTGCAGGGGGTGGGTCCCCTCAGCCCAGCCTGAACCCTCTCCAATCCAGGACATCCCTCTCACATCCTGGACTGCTGGCTCCTAATCACTCACCTGCCTGCCTGCCTGGTCATGCCTAACTGCCCCCCCCTTGTTGGCCTGATCACCCCTCACTGCCTCTGTTGCTGGCCTGATAGCCCCTAACTGCCCCCCTCTGCTGGCCTGGTCACCCCCAACTGCCCCGCCCCTGCTGGCCTGGTTGCCCCTCACAGCCCCCCCCCCTTCCGCTGGCCTGGTTGCCCCACGCAGCCTGCTGTTCAGTCATTTGGCCGTCCCTCACTAACCCTGCTGCAGTCCTGGTCGCCCCACACAGACTGCTTGTTCAGTCGTTTGGTCGTCCCTCACTAACCCCCCTGCCAGCCTGGTCACAGGAAGCCATCTTGTGAGGGCATGATGGTTAATTTGCATATTACCTCTTTATTATATAGGATTATATAATATTTAGCAGATTGGAGTGAGAGGGATTCCTTTGTTGGCCTTGAAGAAGTGAGCAGCCATGTTGAGGACATTCCATACACAGTTGGGTTCTTTTTAAATTTGAGTTTTAGGGATTACTTTTCTAAATAAACATTTTTATAATGATAAAATATATATAACATAAAATTTGCAATTTTGACAATTTTTAACTCTTATAGTTCAGTATTATTAAGTATATCTACACTGTTTTGCAACTATCACCACCACGTATCTCCAGAAATTTTTCAACTTCTCAAATTGGAAGTCTGTATGCATTAAATAATAACTCCTCTTCCTCCCCTCCTTCCAGGCTCTGGCAACCACCATTCTGCTTGATGTCTGCATAAATCTTACTATTCTAGGTACCTCATATAAGTGGAATCACATAATATTTGTCCTCTTGTGACTGCCTTATTTCACTTAGTTGGAACTATTAGTTAAATATTTAACTTAATAGTATTTTAAAATTAAGTAAAATATATACATGGTTCCAAAGTCAAATTTGTAAAACAAGTTTTATTCAGAGAGGTCCAGTTTTTGTTCCTGTCCCCATCTTTACCACAGGCAACCATTGGAATGTTTTTGATTTATCCTTTCCTTGCACACCTCCAGCACTTGTTTTTTTTTCTTTTATACTATAAGCAAACAAATAAATATATTTGTATTTATTCTCTCTTCCTTAAATGGTTGCATATGTAAATAAGTAACAGTAAACATACAGACTTTATCTTATTTTTTTCATTTATCAATACATTATGGATATCATTACTTATCATTATAAGTTCTCAGTCGAATCCATCTTTACAGCGCTTATCTCATAATTCCTAACTGATTTGAAAGCTGCAATACTAACAATGTTTAGGAATACAGTTGGAGGTTACATACCATATACTTTCCTAATACTTGCTGAAAATCGGCAGCAATGGCATTTGAAGGAGAAAAATGTTCTTGTGACATCAAAGGATTTTTCAGAAAAATATCACTAACCTGGGGAAATGAATGGAAATATTTAAACTATATAGGTAATTTCAACTGGATAATTGCAGAGTTAATGTTTATATGAAGCCAAGTCTGGCAGAAACCTGAAATAAAAGAAACTAGGACATTTCAAGATTTTTGGTGGCAGGGTGTCTTTTCTATTTAAAGGTACAGTATTCATGAAAACTGCTTGCCCAGGCTTCTCCACTGCTTAGTATAGATTACAACCTCATACTGAGAGATCCTTAATTCTTTGGTATATTTGAGGATTTGAGGGGAAGAACAGATGTTTACCTCTGGCAAACAGGGAAATAGGGAGTCCATTATATTTTCTAAATACGCACTTATTTTCCCCTCCTGCTCCTATCTTCAAAATCCACTCAATGATTAAAAAACAATCCCAACTAAAAGTCATGATTCTACCTTTCAAAACTTATAGAGTTGTTACAGGACACTTCCAAGTTTCAAGAAGAAATTCTGATAATTGTTTGTACTAAAAGCTGTATTCCCCAGAGGTAGTGGTAAAAATAATATGGTTAGCAATTTTGTGTCATCTGGTTTTGGAAAGGTAGTAAAGTTGGGATGTTTTGTCATAATGACAGAGAGAAAAAAATTAGAGTATAGTAAATTAAATGGCTAACAGTGTTTAGCATCAAGACTCTAACAATTGTCTAGGTGTAACTGTCACTGTAGAGTGACAATATTAGGTCTTATATCATTTGATTCTATTTTTGAGTATAGTTTGAGCTGTGTTAAAGCAAGTTGGTACACTATACAAATAAAATATATGCATGGTTTATATATATAATTATCTATACATTAAATAAATATGCTATTGAGAAAGTATTTTAAATATTAGTAAAACTTCATTTCTTTCTTATTTTTAAAAAAATATATTTTATTGATTTTTCACAGAGAGGAAGGGAGAGGGACAGAGAGCTAGAAACATCGATGAGAGAGAAACATTGATCAGCTGCCTCCTGCACACTCCCCACTGGGGATGTGCCCGCAACCAAGGTACATGTCCCCGACCAGAATCGAACCTGGGACCCTTGAGTCCGCAGGCCGACACTCCATCCACTGAGCCAAACCAGTTTGGGCTCTTTCTTATTTTTAAAGAACAAAATAAAGACAGATTTTTTAAATTTAAATTCTTTATTGTTGAAAATATTATGTATGTCTCCTTTTTTACCCCATTGACTTCTCCCTGGCTGCTCCCACCCCCCAGCACATGCTCTCACCCCCCCTACTGTCTGTGTCCATTAGTTATACAAGTCCTTTGGTTGACCTATTATCCACCTGCCTCTCACTCTTCCCTCCCTTCCCTCTGAGGTTTGATGGTCTGTTCAATGCTTCTATGTCTCTGGATCTATTTTTGTTCATCAGTTTATGTTGTTCATTATATTCCACAAATGAGTGAGATCATGTGATACTCATCCTTCTCTGACTGCCTTATTTTGCTTTGCATAATGGTCTCCAGTTCCATCCATGCTGTTGCATGGATGTAAAAAAGAGTTCCTTCTTTTTTACCACAGCGTAGTATTCCATTGTGTAGATGTACCACAGTTTTTTAATCCACTCATCTGCTGATGGACACTTAGGCTGTTTCCAAATCTTAGCTAATGTAAATTGTGCTGCTATGAACATAGGGGTGCATATATCCTTTCTGATTGGTGTTTCTGATTTCTTGGGATTTAGTCCTAGAAGTGGGATTACTGGGTCAAATGGAAGTTCCATTTTTAATTTTTTGAGGAAACACCATACTGTTTTCCACAGTGGCTGCACCAGTCTGCATTCCCACCAGCAGTGCAAGGGCACGTTCCTTTTTCGCATCCTCTCCAGCATTTGTCGTTTGTTGATCTGTTGATGATAGCCATTCTGACAAGTGTGAGATGGTACCTCATTGTTGTTTTGATTTGCATCTCTCAGATGATTAGTGACTTTGAGCATGTTTTCATGTCTCTTGGCCTTCTGTTACGTCCTCTTTCGAGAAGTGTCTATTTAGGTCCTTTGTCCATTTTTTGATTGTATTGTTTATCTTCCTTTTGTTGTATGAGTTCCTATAAATTTTGGAGATTAAACCCTTATCAGATGTCACATTGGCAAATGTGTTCTCCCATGCAGTGAGGACTTTCTCGTTATTTTGTTGATGGCTTCTTTTGTGACAGATCCTAATAGATCTGAGTAGATTGTCTTTGCAGATCTTCCTTCAGAGTCAGGGAAGTGTGGGAGCAGGAGACAAAGAGGGATGAGGGTAAGAAATCTCTGGAGGTCAGTAATGGCTCTGCTTTATAGACAGAGGAATGATCTGCTTTTGTTTAGTGACATTATTGCTCATAAACTATAAAACAGAGACCTCATAATTTCAGAAAAGGTAAAGGTCCTTAAGGTAGTATAACAAATTACTTACATTTTTAAGAAATGCAGATGGTGTTACAATATCCAATGCATTGTCTGAGGCACATAGGTAAATGATTCCATCAATGAAGAGACTGTGATAGACAAAGCTGTGAAAAGAATACATTCATTTACATGATAATATTAAAGAAATTAAGTATCTATGTAGCACATTTAATTTCATCTTTAAGTTCTCATTAATAGTATAAGAACTATCTATATAACTTTTAGAATCATAATAATTAGAATATCTTTCATATATTTAAAAATTAAATTATATTAAATAAAAGCTAAAAAATTTGAAGATGTCTATTTATTTATTTAATATATTTTCTATTGATTTCAGAAAGGGAGAAGGAGGGAGATAGAAAAATTGATGATGAGAATCATTGATTGGCTGCCTCCTGCATGTCCCCTACTGGGGATTAAGCCCACAGGAATCAAACCATGACCTCCTGGTTCATAGGTCAATACCACTGAGCCACACCAGCTGGGCTGAATATGTATTTAAAATAAATCAGAGAGAGAGAAACATTGATATGAGAGAGAACATTGATTGGTTGCCTCCTGCCCTGACCAGGGTTGGGAATCGAACCTACAACTGAGGTATGTGCCCTTGACTGGAACTGAATCTGGGATCCTTCAGTGTGCGGAGGTGCTGCTCTATCCACTGAGCCAAACTGGCGAGGGCATGGTACAAATATTTTTTTTAATATATTTTATTGATTTTTTACAGAGAGGAAGGGAGAGGGATAGAGAGTTAGAAACATCGATGAGAGAGAAGCATCGATCAGCTGCCTTCTGCACACTCCCTACTGGGGATGTGCCCACAACCAAGGTACATGCCCTTGACTGGAATTGAACCTGGGACCCTTGAGTCCGCAGGCTGACGCTCTATCCATTGAACCAAACCGGCTAGGGCTACAAATATTTTTAATGATGATATTGACTGATACAAAAAATTCCCACTTGGAAAATGTTTTATTTTTAATACATTATGTATGATTTTATGTGAAGTTTAAAAGCAGGTAAAGTTAAACTAAAGTATTACGAATTAGGATAATGGCTTCCTTTGGAGCAGTGGAAGTGGTTAGGAAGAAGAATGAAGAGGGCTTCTGGGAAGGTGGAGATAGTCTGTTTCTTGACCTGGTGGTAACAGGAGTGTTTACTTGGTGATGATTCATTTAGCTATTCACTTAGGATTTGTGCTCTTTTTGTATGGATGTTTATAGCTTATCAAGAAAAGTTTTTAAAAATCTGTCACTTTTTTTTTTTGGTTTCAGGACTTTTATGTTATTGGCTCCATCACATCGATTCCACCTTGAGCTTACACATTAATTTTCGTAGAATAATTTCATAGACATACTTTTCATATTGGGATATCTAATCTATGTGAAATTCAGTTTTTATAGTATAATATAAGGGATCTTACTTTTTCTTTGCCCAGATGGACTGTCATTTTACTAGTACTTGATTTTGCCTCTTGACCCAAAAAGTCCTAAAATATTTACTATCTGACCCTTGATAGGTAAGGGTTAGAATGTAAACACTCTATTTCTATTTTACTCTTGGTTGCTCTAGAAATTCAACATGTATATGTAATTTAATTAAGTATAAACTTAATAAAATAATCCAGCACAATATAAGAAACTATTAAAATTATTTAAAATTGGAAAATATTTTTATTTCTAAGTTGGGAGGAGTCTTTGCTGAAAAAGTTGCTAATTCTACCATCTCTCTGAAAGTTGTATATGTGATTTGAAGTAAATTGATAATTGCTATGAAAAGAGATATTTTAAATTTTGCTTAGTATGTTATTACTAACATTCAAAAACCATCTTTAAATGTTAAAAACAAACAAACTTGAATATCTGATGTCCAGGATATGCTGTTAACTGACAAAAGCAAAGTAGAGAAAACTATGTTTGATGTACTACCATTATCTATCATGCTCATATGCTACCAAGGAAAGTACAAATATATATTATGTGTCTCATATAAAAAAGAAAAGAAAAAATGATAAACTAAAAACTTACTCAAAATGATTACCTACATAGGGAGAGAGAGAGAGTCAGTGTAGACAGGAAAGGAATGAAAATTAGACTTCTTAAAGGAAACGTATTTTGTATATTTGACTTTGGAACCATATAATTTTGCATAATTATAAAATGTTATTAAGTCAAATTTTGAATATAATCTTTAAAAACAAAAAACAAAATGAAAAAAGTGAAGCCAAATTTATATTGAGTAATCCAAGCAAGAGATGATGGTAGTGTGGTTCCTATGGTATTGGTGGAAGTTGTCAGATTCTGGATATATTTGGAAGGTAAAGTCAACAGAATTTGCTGATGGATTGGATTTGGATGTAAAAGAGACAAAAGTCAAGAATCATAAAGGTTTTAGGTCTGAGGAACTGGAAAGTGGAACACTGCAGGAGGAGGGCTGGTTTTAGACATAGGTTTGAGATGCTTATCAGACATCCAATAGAGATGTGGAATGGGCAGCTGGATACATACATTTGGAGTTCAGGGAAGAGGCCCTCAAAAGATTCAAATTAGAATGTATATTGTAATTTACACTTAAGCATATCTTTTTTAAATAAAATCATTCCTGCTAATAAGTGAAAATAAAACTAGAATATCACTAATTTGCAAACCCCAATAAATTAATGGCTCTAGGGTGTAGACAATGAATATCAATGGCTGCTAGCATGTCAAAAGGAAGTATAAGCAGACAGTATGTACCATCCGATGAAAAAACATCTATAGTCTTGCCAAAGGGATCAAGCCTCTTGATCCAGCTGGTTAGAGCATGGTAAACTGCATTTTGAGTATGCAATCAGCAAACTAAGACTGTGGGAAACTCTATAGGTTCTTCAATAAATTGTACGGATAGGACAGGAATAGAGGAAGAATATGTAGATTAAAGAAATTTAAATAACGTCAAATTAAAAAGTAGGCAGTATTGGGCTCTAATATCTGAGGTGTATATTTAGGTGCTGAAACAATGAAGAAACAGGATAAGTGGCTGCTATACTAGGTAAAAGTTGGAATGATGGGGGAGAAGAAGGAAACTGTGCACAAACAGGACATATGGTAGGGAGTTTTGGGGGTAGTTGGCAGTGTTCTATTTTTTTGGCATAGGTGGCAGTTGCAGTTGGTAGGGGAGTTCCCTTATAAAACTTCATAAAACTATACATTTGCTTGATGTGGTTTTTGTTTTCTTAAAAAAATCTTTTGACCCCCTTCACCCATTTCTCCCACTACTCGCCAACCCCTACATCTGGCAAACACTAACCTGTTCTCTGTATCTATCAACTTGTTTTTTGTTTTTGTTTTTAGAGTGGTCTTATTGAAGATATTTTAAAGTGGAAGTTTCCTTTTTTATTAATAAAATATTTTGGGTATACCAAAAACAGTATGGAGAATAAGGATAAGAACACTTGTAGACCCACCAATCTATTTAAAATGTTACAGATACAATTGATGTCCCCTGTATACCCTTCCTCAATTTAATTCTTCTCCCATCACTTTGCAAAGGTAAGCACTTTCATGAATTTGGTGCTTATCATTCCCATTCACAATTTTATGCTTTTACATATAGAAGGTCTCCTTTTTGAAGGCTCAATCAAGAGTATGTACAACTAATATATTTTTTCCTCATGCCATTATCATTGGAATTATTAGCTGATAATTGTTAAAAAGTAGTTTCATTAGAATATACCTTACCTGCCCATTTGAATTGTGGTCTTTGGTTCAGCTCTAAGAAGCACTAGTCTAAGCACCGTTGCTGCTGTTTCCTAAAAATAAATTGTCAGCATTTACTTTGCAGAAGATTGCAGTGTTTTTCATTATTCTTCTCCTAAATTTACTTATTTTCTAATTAGTTTATTAAAGGACAACTGTTTACTAGGAGAACTAATGGTTGGTTATTCATAATTCATGGTAAGAGGCAAGTTATAAATATTAATATGAATATTCAGACTCATGTGAATCTGAAGGAAATTTTTAAAATTACAGTGGGGCCTTGACTTACGAGTGTCCCAACTAACGAGTTTTTCGAGATACAAGCTGTCTCTCGGCCGATTTTTTGCTTTGAGTTGTGAGCTAAAATTCGGGTTACGAGCCAGCTTCAGATACCCCACCGCTAGCTGGCGCAGCGAACGTCACAGTGAACGCAACAACATCAGCCCAGCATCACGTGTCATTGTAATGGTGAAAATTGATTTGACATGTGAGTAATTTGAGTTACGAGCTCCATCACGGAATGAATTAAACTCGTAAGTCAAGGCCCCACTGTACTTAATATACATATCCTGTGTATATACATATAACTGTGCAAATATGGTTTGTACTAGATAATCAGTCTTATTTTTACAGTCACATCATCTACACTAATAAAAGAGAAACATGCAAATTAACCATCACTCTGTCACTCCATTACACCCACCAGCCAATCAGAGCAACTATGCAAATTAACCCAACAAAGATGGTGATTAATTTGCATACACAGGCACAGAATGAAGACTGAAGACAACTGAAGATGGTGGCGGCCACAGAGCTGGAGCGAGCAGGAGGCTTGGTTTGCTCCCGGCGACGGAGGAAGTCAAGCTTCCCACCGGCCCTGTACTCTGCTCAAGGAGGGGCTGGGGGCTTGGGTCGCAGGGGGCCTGGGTCGCCGGCGGCAACCCAGGCTTCCAGTCCGCCCCAGGCTCCGCTGGAGGAGCTGGAAAAAAAAAAGGAGGGGCTGGGAGCAGCTGGAGCGGAGAAGCCAAGCCTTGCTGCTGTGGCCGGACCAAAGGCCTGGGTCCCGGGTGCCGGAGGAAAACCGGTGCCTGCAGCCAGGGGAAGGAAGGCCTATTGTGTGAATCTTCGTGCAATGGGCCATTAGTACATATATATATATGGATTCAAGGCTGGGAAGCACTATCTAGTCAAATATCTTTTCAGTGACTAAAACTATAAATGAAATGTTATTGGATTAAAAGTATTCAGCTTTTGTTCTCTGAATACCCTGTCTTTTAGTTAAGAAAAAACTTTTTATTCACTTATCTCTTTCTATCAAACAAATAATTGCTGAGATCTCTTATAGCTGTCTCTTTTTAAAAAATATTTTTTAAATTGGTTTCAGAGAAGAAGGGCGAGGGAGAGAGAGAGATAGGAACATCAGTGATGAGAGAGAATCATTGATCTGCTGCCTCCTGCACGCCTCACTCTGGGGATTGAGCCTGAAACCCAGGCATATGCCCTGATCGGAATCGAACCATGACCTCCTGGTTCATAGGTCGATGCTCAAACACAACTACACTGGTTTCTTATAGGGCTCATTTTTTGGTTAAAATTTGTAGGATGTTACAATTATCCAGAATTCCTTAAGTCTCATTATTTTTCTTTAGAAGTGTAAAAGGAACCAAACCTGAAAGTTATCTACTCTTAATTAGCTTTTCCACTTTCACAAAATGACACCTGAAATAAAAACTTTTTGGGAAATAAAAACTTAAAGCTTATTATTATTTTTAATTTTTAAAAATTAATCTTCACCAAGGATATATTTTACTGATTTTAGAGAAAGAGAGAAATATTAAAACATTGATGTTTGAGATGAGAGAAATATCCATCAGTTGCCTCCCATACATATCTCCCCCAGGGATTGAACCCACAACCTAGGTATGTGCCCTGACTGGGAATCGAATAGCAACTTTTTGATTCTCGGTACAACACGATGATTTAACCAACTGAGCCACACCAGCCAGGGCTAAAGCTTGTTATTAATGGGAGAGAGTAAAGCTTGAAATTTGTGGGATTGCCTGAAAAATCCAAGCAGTATTCTCTAAGAAAAGATTTCCGAAGAAACAAGAAAAATTAAGGGAGTACATAGACCAGCCGTGGGCAAACTACGGCCCGCGGGCTGGATCTGGCCTGTTTGAAATGAATAAAACTAAAAAAAAAAAAAAGACCATACCCTTTTATGTAATGATGTTTACTTTGAATTTATATTAGTTCACACAAACACTCCATCCATGCTTTTGTTCCAGCCCTCCGGTCCAGTTTAAGAACCCATTGTGGCCCTCGAGTCAAAAAGTTTGCCCACCCCTGACATAGACTTTCAGTTACTCTGTTATCATCACTGGAATATATTCCCCTAGCTTTCCGCATGTGTCTCATTTAGAGTAAATAATCAATGAAATAATAGAAAAATTTGAAACAAAGCAAATGGCAACATGAGGCAGTAAAAGAGTGATGACTGAGCTCTAGTTATGTTTTTGTTATAAAAGTACTGCATGACTTAAGAAAGAGACTTGTCTGGGTTGTTTCTTTGTGTGAAGAATGAAGTGGGCAAGATCCTGTCCAACTCTAGGATTCTAGGATCCTGTCCAACTCTAGGACCCTAAATAGCAATTGATTTGATCTCATGATTAAGCTTTAGCAGTTACTAATACTTTTCTAATGATTATAAAATAGTTGTGACATTAATATTTAGCATTGAGAAAAGACATGGTAGAACTATTCTTTAAAGCACTTTGTCATTCCTTTCCTTCTCCCCGGTCAGCTTTTTGTACAGCAATCATTCTAAACCTTTAATCCTTTCTTCCAATTGCTCCACCTCTTCCCAATTTCTTACCTTCCTGCATGTTTCATAAAGAGAAGTCATTGAGCTTATGAACACCTTCAACTTTCTGTCTCTCTCCCCTCTTAATTAGGCTTCAAGGAGGAATTGAGAAAAGTCTCAAAGCACATAAGAGGTTATACTGCTAAAAAGTGCAGACAAGTGGGTTCTAGGGAGAGGGAAGAGGAGATAAAGTGAGACCCTGGTGAGACTGGAGAACAGCATGAAGGTCAGGATAGCTGCAGCCCAAAAATATATGGGGGAAGAGGAGATAATCATGGAAAGTCCTACCAGGGAGGGCCTCGAATGACAGGCTAAGTGGTATGGGCTTTATTCTGTATGTAATCAGGTGCCACCAAATGATTTTAAGCAGGGAGTGACATGATCATGTTTGTTTTTAGCAACAACCACTTGAGCAGCAGTGTGGAGGCTGATTTTGAGAGGGACAAGGCTGAAGTCTGAGAGATCAGTTAGGAGGCACTTTAAAAAACATTATTTATTTATTTATGAGAGAGAGAGAGAGAGAAAGAGAGAGAGAGAGAGGGAGAGAGAGAGAGAGAGAGAGAGAGAGACGAAAATTTATTAAAAAGTACTCCCCCAAAGTCTCCTTTCCATCTCAGTTCCCTATTCACCACTATCTGCCTAGGAAACCTCTGTAAATAGGTTTT